AGCAGGCCCTCCAATCACAAGCTGTGCAGGGGAGAATCTGGAATGTGGCCGCAGGCCTCCCAGGAGACATGCACCAGGAAGACCAGGGAGCAGGCCTGATGCCGAGTGTTTCCCTTGGCATTCAGTGTACCTCCAGGAACTGTTCCTTGGAGAGCTGTGGGGTGTGGGGTCCAGAGGGGGAAGTGGACCTGCAGGAGGACTGGATGCCTCCCCCAGGACCAACTCCCACCACCCAGGGTGTTCTCCCTGCCCAGTTACATGGACCTTGACCGACATCTCAGTTGGCTCTGGAGCAATTGATACCATGTGTGAGATGACATTTCCTGGATTGCAGATATACAGCGTAAGGAAGTCTGCATCAATCAAAGTGCACATGGATTGAGGACACCTACTGGTTCAGAATCTTCACAAGCTGGGGGAAGGTCCATCTTAGACTCACAGTAGCACTAGCTATGTCTACTGTCACTGAATTTGGCCAAGCATTTTCCATACAGGGCACGTCCTCTACACACTCACACCAACTCTCTGAATGGGTACTGTTAATGTGCCCATGTGACAGATCAAGAGATTGAGGCACAGAGGGTTTCCAGGATTGGCTTGGCTTTTGAGCAGCAGAACTTTTTATTCAAACTGAGCTTCATACGGTGTAAAGCCCTGTCCCTGCACTGGCCTGAGCTGTCTCCCCCACAACCAAGGGGGTCCCAGCTGTCCTCCTTGTACACCTAAATCCTGACACCTGAGATACCATGATTGAGGGTCCTCAGGGAAGCCACACAGCAGTACCAGCAAGAGCCTGACACTCGACTGCACCATGTGGTCCCTCCCAGCGTCATCAGGTCACCAAGACCCTTGAAAGTAGACCAGGGCCCTGGAGGGGATCTGGGGTACAGGACAGAGGGCCTGAGGATGGAGGTTTGACTAGGACGTGGGTGTCGGAGGTGTGGCTTTCTGCAGGTGCTTCTGTGTTCAGGCATGGACCCTGCTCTCCCATTGGCCTGCTCAGTCAGGTCTCCTTCTCTTCTGGCTAGGCTGATGGCCCAACCTGGTTCTGTGGTCTCAATTCCCTGGGCAGGCTGGACATCAGGCATATCTCAGGCCAGTAGTTCACTGCATAGCATCAACAGGGTCAGTGACTCTTATGAATATGAACCTGGGCCTCTATGGGGCCCTTTAGGATGGCCCCTCTGGGTGCTGGGCAACCATGGCTTTGCCCCTGAATCTGCCTTGTGGATGCCCCTTGGTGTCACATCCTGCATCCTGCCACCACCCCAGCCCTATGCCTATGCCCAAGCCCAGCTCAAGGACCAAAGACATGCTGAGACCTGGGGCTAATATCTCCCTATGCAAAGTTACCATGAGAGTAGCCAGGCACAGTTCACACAGAGGAGGGCAGGCGACAGCCAGGCAGAGGCCAGCTCTATACCCAAGAGGCTGGATTTGAGAGCCAGTTCTAGCCCTGGCTGGGGAATGGCTGCATCACAGGGGAGCAGGACCATGGTTTACACCAGTCACCTCAGCTGCTCACAGGGCAGGATCAGGGCATCTGGAGAAGTTCACACATTCCCACTGATGGGGAGTGGGGCTCCTGTGTGCTCTGCCCCACGTTGGGCAGGACTGGCTGGACTCCTGGATGGTGTGCCTCTGCACAGTGGCTGCTATACAGTATGCTGCCCCCTGGAAAGGACTCCCTGAAGGGCCTGTGAGATGCTTGGGGTGTCCCAGCTGGCACTACCATGCAGTCCATGGCCCCTTGTGTGGGCAGTCCCTCACCAGTCAGTTCCCCCCAGGAATGGGCATTCAGTGTTCCTAATTTCATCCTGCAGTGCTCCTCAGGGTTCTGGTCTGGCACTTGTCCCAAGGACACGGATTTCATGAGGTGTCCAGGCTTGCAGATCACCTCCAGATGCATCTGACCAAGTTCTTCTGCAGGTCTTCCCAGGGCAGTTCAGATGGTATCTGACGTGTGCTCCTCCCTCCAGTTCTTCTGGGGTTGCTGAGCCTCTTCACAGCCTGCATCCCAGGACCCCAAAGACCTCACCTGTCCAGGTCCTATCTAATCTTCACATGACACTGGGGGTGTCCAGGGGCCTGGGGGAGCATCCTGGTGACCACCTCTGCCAACTGTAAGAGCCTTTTGTGTGTCCAAGTTCCTGTTTGGAACACTGAGGCTCCAGCTGGTTTTGTGGGTGACTGACAAGACACTCCTGTTGCCTTCTCTGCCTCAGCCTCAGCCTCAGACAGCAACACCTCATAATTACTTAAACATGGTCATCAGTTTAATCAAGCGTTTGGGTGTTACAAAGGGAATTACTTGAAAATAACTGATAGTCACAGTGATTAGTCACACACTCATATGGCAATGATTATTATTTATCAATCACTAGGAGACTCACCAGGAAGATATATCACATCCTGCCAACTCTGCCTGAACCACACTGGCTTAAAGGAGATACTCTTCTGGGGGCTGTCATGTGAAGATAATTGCAGGTGAACTTAATCACCAGGGACTGAGTGGTTGTCTGTGGGCACACAGGCAGAGAAAAGCCCCAAGCTGTGCAGGCTGTGGCCCGGTGGAGAGAGAGCGGGCCGTGTGGGCAGCAGTGGTGATGGGGGCAATGGGCTGGGCCCCAGAAGGAGGATCCGCCATTCCAACAGGGCCAGCTGGCTGCTGGCCTCCTTATCACGACTCATCACCACACTGAGGGGATTGATGGGAGCAGCTCAGGGGCCTAGGGGTGCAGGAGGCATAAAGGAATCCCTGCAGCCACCTTCCAGTCCTCTGGCTCCTCTTTTGAGCACCTCCACCCCTGCCTGGGGCCTTAAAGGCACACAGTCTGGCATCTCAAGTCTCGGGCAAATGTGCGTGACTTAAGTCACTGGGTGAGCACACAGAGTGCCATGTGTCTGCATTCTCATGGCTTGAGGATTAATCCACGGGCCCTGCGCCTACTTCTACGGAAATGGCTGTGACAAGCATAGCTTCTGCTCAGAACTCAGTGGCAAAGGGTCATCACACAGCCCTTCCTAAGTACCAGAGGACTGGCAATATAGGGGCCCCATTCATTCAGGGAAGAGGAAGACAAGATGGGGAAGAACACTTGACATCTCTTGATCGACAGTTGCATAGTAGAAGCTCCAAAGTGCAGCTGCTATAATCTGTGGTGACAAAATCTCCTTCCTTTCTGGGAGGACTTTCCCAGAAACACTCCTTTCTCTAGAATTTCTCCATCTTTTTCCAGTGCCTCCATATTGTGTCAGGTGTTTCAAATCCAAACTCACATCTAATTTTCAAAACATTCTATACATCTCAGAAGGAGGTATTGCCCGCTTCTCTCCAGAGCACCTTTCTGCACTTCCCATGGCAATAACCCCTGAAATCTCATGCGGCTGCGAATTTTCCCCTTTCTTTCCACATAATGTCACAATATTCACCTGTGAGTCTCTGCTGCCTTCTGAACCTGCAGGGACATGAACACAGATGCTTACGCCTATTGGATCTACAAAGATTGGTGGTTATTTTTGTTATCATCACCCCGGACCCTACCACTCTCTCCTCTAAACATATGTTTCCATGAACTTTCTGAGAACATGCAATTCAACTGGAAATGGAATAGAGTATCTGCCCAAATTGCTGCTTGGTGTTTTTCTCTCCTAGAGGAAAGCTTATTCGATTTGGGTATGGGGTTCTCCCCAACAAGATGCAACTTACTCAAAGCTCCCCAGATTCCAGTCCAAGACTGTCTCCTTTCCAGTTTTGCAGCTGCTCTTCCATTAAAAGCAACCATTTCTCTTCATTTCATCTCAGGAAATCTGGCCCTTGCTTAAAGTAGGCCAAAAAAAAAAAAAAAAAAAAACCAATCAAGGAAACCTAAATAATTCATCATTTCATTGGAGAAAGCCCTGGCTGTCCTTGGCCAGGGAGAAGAGTGCATGACCTGTGACTTTGCGGTATGAATTTAAGGAACAAAATGCTTATTTCTCAGGAAATCCTTGCCAATAATGGGGATAAAGCACTACTCACTTCACTGTGCTCTCCTGCATTGCGACAGAAGCATGGAACGGACAAACACCCTCCCTTCCTGCTTCAGGTGGGCATTTATCTGTGATCCAAGAGAACTTCAGAGCAATTCTCCATTTCAGACTTTCATGCCCAAGATTCACCTTCTGCAGAGTCTGGTCACTGCCACCACCCAGCTTCATTACAGTCAATCCCCACAGAGAGAATCACAGTTGCCCAAAGCCCCAAAGTGCCCATGTGGTGAGGACATTTACACTTGAGTGCTGTCCCCTAATCCTCCACAGCCTCTTCCCTTCTTTTATTTGTTCTCTAGGACTTAGGGGACACCTCACCGCCTTCCTTATTTGACTCAGTTCCTACACTAGCATCCTGTGGGTGGCTGTGTCATGATTATTAATAGTGTTCCTACTGCTAATACTGGGCCTTTCAGAGGATAGAGGCTCAGTGACTCTTTAAGGTATAAATAAGCCAGTGAGAAGATATTTTTTATTATTGTTTATTTTTCTAAATTCTTGAATAAGCCAAGAAAAACCATATATATTTTAGTTTTATAGCATGGCAGACTAAAAATGATACAAAAATTCAAAAACCACCTATTTTTCTCTGTTTTACCACTAAGTTCTTTTACATTAAAAATCCTATTCCAATTTCATGTTATCTTATTACAGATTACAAATAAAATGTAAGGATTCCCAATTTGTTTTACAAAACATCTAAGCTCTTTTTCTTAAGCTGGATAAATAGTAATAAATGTGTGACCTATGTCATTTGTACACTTACATTCTGAAGCTAATAAACATTCTACTTAAAGTAACACTTTAAAATACTAAAAATAAAAGAAGATACATTTCTAAGTCACCCAAATGGTACAGGTACACAAAGATGTTATTCATTATGATTCCCTCATGCCCAGTCTGAGCTTCCACTACTTAGATCACTGAATTCCCTCTTAAAACACAAAGTAAAGAATCTGCCTTAGACTTCACTCAGGGTAGAAGAAGCTACTGGATATGGCACAAGAACTTGCACTGGCCATGGCAGTAGTATTAGCTATGGTGCCAATTCTGGCCTGAGTTCTCTGTTCCTCATCTCTCAAAGCCTCCTCAAACCAGTATGGAAAGGATCTGGGGTCACTTCCATTTATCTGGGCCAAAAACTCCAGGACTTTCATCTTGCTGGTTTCAGCATGAGCTCTGGGACCCCACAGGAATTCGTAGCAGGCAGGATCGCTGTTAGGCACCTGCCGGTACTCCAGGTACTGTTCCTGCACCCAAACTTTAGTGATGAGCTCCTTGGGCTCCCCATAGATGCAATGCTCCCTCCCAGCATGCACCCCCATGACATTCAGTGCTTCCCATATCTCCTCTTCAGGGACACAATCACCCTCCGTGAAGATTATACTAAGGATGAGTATCAGAAGGCCAGTCTTGGGCATATTGTGCTCATTGCTAACCATCCCATCATAGGTGAGGCCCAGGTTGGTGACTAGGACATAGGAGTGGCTGGTGGGGTCCACCTCCTTCACATCAATGCCATAAACCAGCTGCATGCACTCAGAGGCTTCACTAAAGATTACAGCAAAGTGGTCCTGGTACTCTTTGATGATGCTACTCAGCATTTCTGCCTTTGTGGTCAGCTCCTTTGTGCGATACTTCAGGAGCAGGAACCCTACCAGATCAGCTACCTTAGCATCAATCACATATCTGGGTAAGGACTCTGTGTCTGGCAGGGCCTGCAAGGTACTTGGATTCTCCTCTTCTTGACTGCTGGATTGGCTCAATGGAGCAGCAGAGGCAACAACAGTGGGGGAGGGGCAGACACTTGGAGGGCTCTGGGGAGGACTCAGTGTCCCAGCAGCAGCATGGACCTCCTCCTCCGGGGTGCTTGGGGTACTTGAAATCAGAGGATAGCAAGAGGAAGAGGAAGAGGAGAAAGAGGAAGGAAAAGAGGAGGAGCAGGTGGAAGAAGATGAGGAAGAATCTTCTTCCTCAGCCTCAGGAATCTCAAGCATGTAGCGTGGTCGTTTGGGAACTCGAGGCATGATTACTTCTGTCAGGCAGCCACAGTGGTGGGCAATGGGGACTCACAGGCCTGGGAGAGAGAGGAAGTGTAAGAGTGGTCTCAGCTAAGATGCACACTCTTGGTAGCTCTGACAAAGGCACCTCACCTTGACTGCTGGCACTGCCTGGACCTCCTCTCCTCTGTGACCTGTGTTTGCGCCTCAGACCAAGGCCTTTACCTCTTGGTTCCTGGAGCCCCTGTAACAGGAAATGAGTAAGCATCTCAGTGTTCAGATAGTATGCATAGCCATGGGCCTCCAGTGCTGACAAGAGAGAGGCCCAGACTCTGTGAGGTCTCCATTGTTCTGGGGTAGATGATCTCCTCCGTTCTCACTCAGAGTACTCACTTTTCCCCTGGCAGGGCCTGTGACCTCCACTCTGCTGGCCCTAAGGCAAAACTCTCAGAACAAAGCTACATACCTCTGAGACTGAACAGAAGAAAGTGAGGGGGCTCCACATCTGGCCACATCTGATCAGAACCTTCCACATGGTACAGCAGAACCTTCCACATGGTACATGGCTGAACTCTGTGGGGGACCCATCTGTCCTGGGATAGGGAGTCTCCTTAGTCCTAACTTTGATATCTGACAGGGTCTGGTATAACTTTTTGTGTTGACTTGAGGCCACTTTCTTTTAGATTAAAATCTCACCTTCATGAAACACTGAAGGAGAAATGTGAGGAACATCACAGTTAGTCACCATGTTCCACTTCCCCTCATGGCTGACAGAAGTGGCAAGGTAAGGTTGGGATTCCATCTGTTCTGACGTGAGGTATTCCCTCAGTCCTCATCCTGAATCTTGCGAGGAAGAGAGCAGGACTCAGGAGCAGGGGAGGAGTATCAGGGTTACTTTTGTCCTCTCTCAGAATTCTCACCTTAACAGAAATCAGGACCTGGGACTCTTCCCTTTGCTGACCTGAATGTGGTCCCCTTAGTCCAAGTTTCTCACATACCTGAGACTACCACCCCAGCCAAAATCAAGGTGCTCTCAGTAGGACAGCCCTACCTGGTGTTTCTGAGCTGAAAGTGGAAGTGGGGAGAATTTCTGTAAGGAAATTTGTTCTGGAGTAAAATTCTCCCTCATTGCTCCCTCATGGTCAACAGCTTGACTACTTGTAGTGTGGGCTGTCCATATGCCACACCCTTAGTGTAAGGCCCCACCTTTTTGAGGTTCCTGAGAGCAAATAGAGTGGTAGTCTCAATAGGAAAGCTATTCCAGAAATCCCAGGACTGAGAGCAGTTGTAGGCTTCTTTGAGGTCCCCATTCTCATGGGGTTCAGGGTCCCTCAATACTCACTTAGGGTCCTACCTTGACTCTGGCAGGTGGTACGCCCACCTTCTGCTTGACTCTGGATTGACTCTGGAGAGTCCCGGGCCTGCCTTCTGCTGATCTGAGGTTTTGCATCTTATACCAACCTCGAGTCTCACAGATCACAGACCTGGTAGCGCAAGAAGTCCCATTCTTTATACCAAGCCCCAGCGTCTCTGAGACCCTGATGCAGAAGTAAGGAAATGCCACTTGTGGTCACCCTCCAATGAGACCTGCTGGATTAACTCTGTTGTAGAGTGGAGGGTCCCTCATCTCCCACAGTGTCCTCACTTTGAATCTGGACAGATTGTCTGCCATCCCCTCTAAATACCAGAAGCCCTATCCTTTATCCATGTTCCCCATCTAAGACCCAGTTGCAGAAGTCAGGACACACTGCATGTGCATTTTCCATGTCCCATGGCTGACAACAGGGCTGGGGTTCTATGGATTTCCCTTTGTTATGGGATACAGGGTCCCTCTGTCTTCCCTCAGAGTCCTCACCTTGACTCTGACAGGTGCTGGCCCCACCCCTTGCTGGTTTGGGGCCCTACTCCTTATACCAAACTCCAGAGTCCCTCAGACCTGGATGAGGAAGTAAGGAAACACTGCCGTGATCATCCTCCCATAACGCCTGTCAGGTTGACTCGGGTAGGTCCTGAGCTCACCCTACAGTGATCTGAGGTCTCATTTTTTATATTAAACCCCTAAAGTCTCTCAGACCTTGATGTGCTAGTCAAGAGAAAAGGCATGCGGTCATCCTTCCCTGGGGAGTACCAGGACTGACTCTGTTCTAGGTTCCAGAGTCCCTGCGTCCTCCCTCTGAGGCCTCACTATGACTCTGCCATATCCTGGGCCCACCCTCTACTGATCTGAGGTCCTGTTCCTTATATCAAAGCCCCAGTCTCTCAGACCCATATATGGAAGTAAGAAAACGTCTGTGATCATCCTCCCATGACGCCTGCTAGATGGACTCTGGCAGGTCCTGGGCCAATCCTCTGCAGATCTAGGGTCCTACTCCTTATACCAAAGCCCAAGTCTCTGAGACCTGGATGCGGAAGTAAGAAAATGCCAACTGTGGTCATCCTCCCCTGAGGTCTGTTGGATTGACTCTGGAGAGTCCCGGGCCTGCCTTCTGCCGATCTGAGGTTCTGCATCTTATACCAACCTCGAGTCTCACAGATCACAGACCCGGTAGCGCAAATCAGGACATGCTGCGTGTGGTCATCCCCCCAAAGGGGCTCCCAGAACTAAATCCGTTCTAGGGTGTATGGTCCCTCGGTCCTCCCTCAGCGTTCTCACCTTGGCTCTGGCAGTTCCTGGGCCCGCCGTCTGTTGATTTGAGCTCCCGCTCCTCACATGGAACCCCAGAGCCTGTCAGAGCCAGATAAAGAAGTGAGTAGACACCACGTGTGGAGATCTCCCCACTGGGGAGTCCCAGAACTGACTCTGATCTAGCTTTCAGGGTCCCTCAGTCCTCCCTCAGGGTCCTCACCTTGACTCTGGCAGGTCGTGGGCGCACCCTCTGCCCATCCGAGGTCCTACTTCTTATACCAACCCCCCAGAGTCTCTGAGACCCGGATGCGGAAGTAAGAAAACGATCACTGTGGTCATTCTCCCATGAGGCCTGGTGGTTTGACTCTGGCGGGTCCTGGGCCTGCCCTCTGTCGATCTGAGGTCCTACGCTTTATACCAGCCCCCCAGAGTCTCTGAGACCCGGATGCGGAAGTAAGAAAACGATCATTGTGGTCATCCTCCCATGAGGCCTGGTGGTTTGACTCTGGCGGGTCCTGGGCCTGCCCTCTGTCGATCTGAGGTCCTACTCTTTATACCAACCCCCCAGAGTCTCTGAGACCCGGATGCGGAAGTAAGAAAATGATCACTGTGGTCATTCTCCCATGAGGCCTGGTGGATTGACTCTGGCGGGTCCTGGGCCTGCCCTCTGTCGATCTGAGGTCCTACGCTTTATACCAACCCCCCAGAGTCTCTGAGACCCGGATGCGGAAGTAAGAAAACGATCACTTTGGTCATCCTCCCATGAGGCCTGGTGGATTGACTCTGGCGGGTCCTGGGCCTGCCCTCTGTCGATCTGAGGTCCTACGCTTTATACCAACCCCCGAGAGTCTCTGAGACCCGGATGCAGAAGAAAACTCTGTTTGGTCATTCTCCCACGATGCCTGCTGGATTGACTCTGGAGAGTCTTGGGCCTGCCCTCTGTCGATCTGAGGTCCTTATACCAAACTGCCACTCTCTTTAGTCCTTCCTCAGTGTCCTTACCTTGACTTTTGGCAGTTACTGGGACTAATTTCTTTGCTGATCTGATTTGAAAAGCACCCCTCTAACATTCATTTTCCTGAGACCTGCATCTCTGCTTCCCTGAGAGAAATTCAGGGGCCTCCAGGGGCTGACTGTAGGGACAGAGTGTAGCTGAGGTCCCTTTTTTCCGTTTTGGGAGGTTTCCTCAATGATCCTTCAAGAGTCTCACCTTGATACCTGACAGGGCCTGAGACTTCCTTTTATTGACCCCAGTGCCCCTAGTGCCAGCCAAGGCCCTCATTGCTCTAACTTCCCCCAGGCAAAATAGGAGTTGGGCTCTCCGCCCAATTGCTCCACAAGGGTCTCCCAGAGCTGTCAGCAGGAGTAGAGCAGAATTTTCTGGCTCGGCTAGGGAGGGTGGACCATCCCCCTCTCCCCAAGTCCTCATTCATGTCGTTCCTCATCTTGGCTCCTGACTTCTTGAATACTGTCCGTGATCTGCCCCCTCCCTGTCAGCTCTGAGCATTTACCCAACTGCAACCCTGACAAAGAACTTCTTGGGGGCCCAAACTAGGTGCTAGATGAGGAACTGCAGCACCCATGACTGTAGGGTAGGGTCCAAGAGGAAACAACCTTCCAAAAGGGTCTCCTCACCAGCCAGCAGACTTCGGAAACATTTTGTTCTAAAATATTTATTTTATACACAAAGGCTAAGCAATAGGATTTGGGGAGGTCCTGCGGTTTCAAGCTTATCATTTTGGTTTTCATTTTCTTAAACCTCGTTCCTAGTATACATCTCCATCAAGTGTATATTGCATATATATATGCAATTTCATGAAAGAATGCCTACACTTACTATGTGTGGATGACTCTGATACTTCTATTTCCAGTCAATTGTTTATCTTCCATTAAATTTATTTTAAAGGTCGGTCCTCACCCGCTTGTCAAAAGTTCTGGAATAACATAAATAAAACCAATTAATCACCAAAATAGTAATTACTAAAAGTTTATTGTGCACACACCAAAAGACAGTTTGTAAACCAGAAGTATTCAAACCAAACGTGAAATGAGGCTCATGGATATGTTGTTAAAAAGCAGCTTATTATATAATGAGAAGGTAGTGATTATTCTTCACAGAAATTACTTATAATATTAGAATTTCATTAAATGATAAGGAATTGGTTAGTGCTTACCACAAATCAATTTTTGAAAACAGTTTAAATGTTCCTAATTATATCCAAAGACATAAGCAAGAAATGACTCAAGTCAGGTTAGTCTTGCAAAATAAGCTGCATTAGGCTTTGTCTGTATGACTAAACTGGTTTTGTCTGTTTAGAATTTTCAAGGCTGGTCTTACAATTATGTTTTTTTAAATACACTAAAATGGTATCATGAGATTATTGGCACAGACTTTGTGGCC